TACCCAAATCTCTCCCAGAAAACGTAGCCAACTTGTTGTGGGCCAGATCGACATGAATTAGATGTTTCAATCCGCTGATGGCCAAATCGAGTCGAACAGAGGTTAACAGGTTATACGAGAGGTCAAGGTCGGTTAGGTACTTAACATGTCTCAAGGATTCCCAAGAAAACTCTGAGATGAGATTCTGTCTTAGACTCAGCGTGTGGACCGTCTTAAGGCCCGATAGGTCGGGAATTTTCTGGATGCGGTTTTCTGGAAAATTTACATATAGCAGAGACATACGTTGCAGGTACTCGATCGGTAGCTTTGTTATATTGGCCCTGGAGCAGACAATTTGTTTACTTGTCTTATAACATCTGCTTAGACGCACATCGCCAGTGCTTACAACACTTATCAATGTCATACAAACGATGCCACACATCAAATATTTCATGAACATTGTGAACGAAATACTAGATTACGTATGATTAGTTCAGTCCAATAAGTTAGCCAAAAAGAAATGACTAGTCGTGAAGACGAGTTGAGATGGTTTGTCGCCCTTTAAACCGATGACAGCTGTTCTTGGCCTATCAGCAGCAACCTGCATTGAAGGTTCATAACATTATTATAGTCCTTACCAGGGCTGGGGACTAAAGTATTTTAGCAATTTTGCCATAAGATCTAGAAGAAACTGTGTCACACGTTGAGATGCTTACCTGTATTGGCCTTAAAGATTACACTTTTTCTTGCTCTGACTTTTCGCGCAGTGAGGACCAAGTGATGTTGTTGAGCTCGTCTTTTGGCTCGTTCCGCTTAGTAGGATATAGTTTTGTAGCCTTCGAAACACGAAATTAGTCTGTCTCGAGTCCGTCTCACTGGCTAGACGAAAATTGTAAATTTCTTTGAATAAACAACAGAACATCGGATGTTGTTTTGTTAATGTAGACGCGGCTTGCGACAATCGGTCAATCCAAGGTTAGAGAAAAATAACCTCCTCGTCAAATCGAAACATTGTTTAATCTGATTTTATACCGATTGAAACGATTGACAATGACTTTCTATCTCATAAGTCTGAAAAATGTTGTCTCTTGGGATGGTTAAGAACGCAGTGGCTTGCTTCAGGCCTAGATTGAAGAGATTCAAATATGGCCAGCCCCCTAGCGAATGTATGAAGAGGACGCATCATCGGCATTGGCATGCATTTATTTGTAACGCTCTGGACTTCAAACTTCATGGCTACAACAGTTATTTTTATGTACCAACATTAATCCAGTTAGTGCATTAGTCATATTAGTTTTGAATAGTAGTAGTGCTGGATCATGAAGAATACAACTAATCATATCACCACAGTCACAGCCTGAAGGCCGAATTGATCTGGAGTCATTATAGAATACGACTATTGACAATATAAATGGTATAATATATCAATATATAGACAAGTAATCTTTAGAATAAAATAAAAGTTCAACGAGCCAAAAAAATAAGAGATAACTCTACAACATCAACTTACACTGCCAAGCAAGTACGGCAGCACATATTAAGGTAACAGCGACTGCAATAGTCTTCAAAAGGGGTAATAACATCAGATCCAGATAAAAGAAGACGTTTGGATTGTCAGACTGTACCTGTAAGTTTTCCCCTCTTGCGTTTTGTGGCAGTCAGCTATGTTTGCGGTGTGAATCGGGACGCCTGCTGCGTTTTCGGGACTGCTACATTTCGGCAAGCCTTTCTGAGCGAATTCGAGATACAGGCCAGAGAATCTTTCGTCCGATTTACACTCATTCGGCCAACAGTCGTCGTACAGTCGCGACAATGTTGCCAACCACTTCATGTGGCAATCGCAGTGTATCGGATTACCCTGTATAAATATCTGCCTTCGGGTCCTGCCTGGCCCGTGGGTACCCAAATCTCTCCCAGAAAACGTAGCCAACTTGTTGTGAGCCAGATCGACATGAATAAGATGTTTCAATCCGCTGGTGGCCAAATCGAGTCGAACAGAGGTTAGCAGGTTATACGAGAGGTCAAGGTCGGTTAGGTACTTGACATGTCTCAAGGATTCCCAAGAAAACTCTGAGATGAGATTCTTTCTTAGACTCAGCCTGTGGACCGTCTTAAGGCCAGAGAGGTCGTGAATTTTCTGGATGCGATTTTCTTGGAAATTTACATGTACCAAAGACATACGGCACAGCTCCTCGATCGGTAGCTTTGTTATATTGGCCCTGGAGCAGATGATTTCTAAGCTTGTCTTATAACATCCACTTAGACTCTTAGACACATCGTCAGTGCTTACAACACTTATCAATGCCATACAAACGACACACATCAAATATTTCATGAACATTGTGAACGGAATATTAAAGCACGTATTATTAGTTCACTCCAATAAATTATCCCGGTCACAGAGAAATAACTAGTCGTTCGATCTATATTGTTCTTTCAATACAGCAAGTGCAGGTAGAAGCTGCTTCTGACAGCACCCAAAGCAGCTTCTGCAAAGTTGGAGACGAGTTGAGATGGTTTGCCGCCTCCTAAACCGATCACAGCTGTTCTTGCACTGCTGTAGTATCACCACCAACCTACAGTGAAGGTTCATAACATTACTATAGTCCTTACCAGGGCTGGGCCAAACTTAGTATTTCTTGTTGCAATTTTGCGAGAAAAAGAAAATGTCAAACGTTGAGATGTTTACCTGTATGGCACCGAAGATGACTGCTTCTTGCTCTGACTTGCTGCACAGTAAAACTAAATTAATATCGTTGGGCTCGTCGTTTTGCACGTTTCGCTTTCAGGGTTATGCTTTTGTAGCCTTCGAGACACGAAATTAGTTCTGCCTCGTTCCGTCTCCTGCCTAGACGAAAATTAGAAATTTCTTCGAATAATCAACAGACCTGGATGTTATTGTTATGTAGGGCAAATCCAAGGATGTAAGAGAAAAATAACCTCCTTGTCAAACCTAAAGACTGTATAAAATAAACAAAAGCCTGATATCACTAGCTTTTAAAAAAATAATGACAGACAGATCAACATATTACCATTTATTAATGTTTATTAGTTCCCAAATTGAACATTTTGAGTAGGAATTTCTATATCAAATATTTTGAAAATCCTTCGATTTTTGTTAGATGTATGAATTTGTTAGGTCTTCAATCGTATAACTTGTGTCTTACAATATTTTGTCTTACCCTCTAGACTTCTAGAAAAGTGGCCTATTTCTTCAATTTTATGAATGAACAAAGATTGTTCCATTTAAGGGTTTCTTTGAAATGTTTTGAATATTCGTGACATTGTTACAATGTACAATCATACATTTAACATATACGTACAATACAAGACCCTACAGATTCATTGTACATACATTTTCCGCAGTTTCGTCCATTAAAACACCAGCTTATTACTCGTGATACAGCATTTATTAGTTATATTCTCACTGACATATCTATGCCGCGGTTAATATCTAAGCACAAATGGTCGAACTACGACTTAATAGTATATATACAATCGCTCCCAGGATAAAAATACATTTTGTTGAAAATATGGCTCATTTTGTAATTGTGTATCATGTATGATATGTATCATATTACCAGTTGGTTCCTTCTTGATAATTCCGCATATATTAGTACACATATAGTATAACATATACTGCTCAAATACAACATAAAAGAGATATTGTTAAGACTAAGTGAACTATGTTTACCTATTTACAGTCGCATTGTGGACGAAATACAATTTTGTGGTTGAAATATCGCTTCTTTAACGTACGATTTTCAGTGCTCTGATACTCTGGTATATATGAAGCTCAAGCTTCGTGTATACTAGTTAACACCACTGCACAAAGACTACATGAACAATGATATACGGAACATCTACATGAAGACCAGTTTCCCATTGATATACAATCAAACCTGTACCAGTGACCACATCTACATAGAGACCACATGGCTATTGATATACAGTCAAACCTGTACTAGTGACCACCTCTACATAAGGACCACTTGGCCATTAATATACAGTCAAACCTGTACTAGTGGCCACCTCTACATAAGGACCACCTGGCCATTGATATACAGTCAAACATACCAGTGAGCATATCTAAACAAGGACCACCTGGTCATTGATGTACAGACAAACCTGTACAAGTGACCACCTCTACATAAGGACCACCTGGCCATTGATATACAAACTTGTACTCGTGAACACATCTGTGTAATGGCCATCATCTGGCCATTGATATACAGTCAAACCTGCACTATTGACCACATCTACATGAGTCTACCCTGTTCATTGATATACAGTAAAACATATTAATTTATCATTATTAGTTGGCAAACATTGTTGGCTACTAGTATTACTTTTCCCATCCCCATGTATTGATAATCTGTCTGTGGTTAGCAACTGCCTACTGTGACCATTTACTTCACGTTCCTTAAGAAGTCACACTATAGACAACTTGGATCATCCTAACACCTACACACAGGTGTTTCAAAACGATTTTAGTAGACTTTTTTTACAGTCGCTTATGAAAGATAGCGGTCGCTATCTGAAAAGTCTGACTTTTTCAGACAATCTATCCACATTTCTTTTGTTTTACCTTTGTGTCTAACTTTCATCGACGATTTTGACCACCTTTTTTTCAGTTCACCACCCTTTCACTCTTCAGAGAATCTGTCAACGTGCTTGTTCTAACTCGGTGTCTATTTTTCATCCACGATCGTTTATATAGTAGATTGTGGATTCATTCCTCAAGCTAGCTATAGTCGACATCTACCACACTGCAACCTAGACCTAGAGACAGGCTAAATAAACGGGAACTATGCAAACATCTAGCCCACCGCAGTCAGAAAGTCTGAAATAAAGTTCTGAACGGGAACTTTGCATCTCCATGTGTATTACTGAGGGACGACTGTGGTCTGATACATGTAGATGTCGGTTAGCTTGAGAAATGAATCCACGCTACACTAGATTTCATGGACGACCCTGACAGCCATTTGCCGCACACTTTACCACCCTTTCCTCGCCTGATTTTACATGGTGTCCGCCTGCCGATGTACCGGCTCGATGCTGATGACCTCCACCCGGTCAGACTTGGTGCCCTTGATGTCGGCGTGGTCGTCCTTAGAGGAGGCCCGCTCGGCTTCACCAATCAGGGCGCAGGCCTCGGGCGGCTGGAGGAACCTTAAAGATAGCAAAACAAGCTCAAAGATATAAAAAAAGTAGTCTTAATGTTCTATACTAGAGAGGGGGGAGAGAACCCCCTGGGGAAAGTCACTTTGAACATATATTGTCACTCGACTCAGATGAAAATGAGTACCTAGCTTCGGTTAAGGACGTCCCCTCGTAAAGCTTGAGGTCCCGTGTTTGAGGAGAGACACACTTCAAGCACATTAAAGATCCTACAACACTTATCGAAAAGAGCAGGAGGCCTTCACGGTATAAGTGGTTCAAACCTTTCAGTCTGATCTTACGCAGCTTGTACTCACTGTAGCAAACTTGTGTGTTGTGCCTGAAGGTCTTCGCACAGTTGTACCGTTCATGCATATGCATGCGAAACAAATAAACAAACAAACAAACTCACCCGTTGCCATTGGCTACGCCCTGGATGACCGGCATGACGTGGCGAGCGGACCGGGCGGCGCCAAGCGGGATCACTCTGTTAGAGTGGAACACCTTCGGGTCGGGAGGAGAGACGGATAGGGTCAAATTACTGCAAGTGACCCCAAATGGAACACGCGTTCTGTTCGAATTGTGTCACATCGAACATGATTCGGGTTCTAAAGAAGGTCGGGACATTGGGTACCAACTACTGAGTACCTAACTCCAGCTCAGAAAAGAGCAAAAAATTGTCATACATTCATGTACCAGAGGTATGAAGCAAGGATTGAGGTGTTTAAAAAGTCGTAAAAAGCTTTTCCCTAGAATTATCGCAGAGTGGAATTCACTGTCACAAAGTACAGTAGGGGCATTATCATTAGACAGCTTTAAACAATGTTTAGAGTTAGTTTTGCAAAGGCTAGGTATTACAGGAGCGTTTGGTGTAATTAGAAAATTGACTTTCGTAGAGTGGATCCCACTGCCATCAAGTACAGTAGGGCCACTATCACTAGAATGACTAGATAGCTATAAACAATGTTTGAAGTTAGATGGGCAAAGACTAGGCGTTACAGGTCGTTGTTTATGCCCCTGTGATACATACCTTGGGAAAGGCCTTCTTGAAGCGTTTGCGGAAGTTCTCTCCCATGAAAGCGTAGATCAGCGGGTTGATTGAGGAGTTGGCGTAGCTCAGACACAGCGCCGCCACCTTTGGTGCGGTAATTAGAGAAAAGTTAATGCTCTATAGTGCTTCATGCTGTTGCTTGATGCAAAACAAACCAGTTCAGTACTACAACTACTGTTACTCCTACTACTACTACTACTGCAGTAACTACTACTACCACTACTGCTTCTATTACTACTACTACTTCTATTACTACTACTACTACTACCACTATTACTACCACCACCACTACTACTACTACTACTACTGCTACTGCTGCTACTACTAATAGTAATACTACTACCTCTACTACTACTACCACTACTACCACCACCACTACTACTACTATCACTACTACTACTACTACCACTACTACTACTACTACTACTACCACCACCACTACTACTACTACTGCTACTACTACTATTACTACTACTACTACGTCCACCGCCACTACTTTTATCACTAACTCTACTTCTCTTACTACTACTACTACTACTACTACTACTACTACTACTACTACTACTGCTACTGCTACTACTGCTACTGCTACTGCTACTACTACTACTACTACTACTACTACTACTACTACTACTACTACTACAGTTACCTTGACGCCGAACATGACCCAAGTCTCCGGGAAGTTGTTATCCAGCAGGACCCACAGGTTGATGATGTGGTTCGGCGCCCAGCAGATCGTGAAGATCACAACAACGGCAACCACCATGCGGCACACCTGCAGATATAAGCGTCTGTCAGAAAACTTGCAAGTTGCAACCAAGTCTACCTTTACAAATTTTCCTAACACAGTGCTTATGAAAGACCACTCCGTCCCTATATATAACTAGACCTGCACGAACCATTGCCAGATGTATTTAACCATTTAGAAATCACAAAAAAAGCTGAATATATAGTTCCATATAGGCATATTACAGCTGTTGTGCAAAACATCATGAAGTCTTTGCCGGGCTTCCGTTGTATTCTTGGAGATGCAATGCCCTATGGGTATCGCCAGGTGCAAACGATATCAGGTCATAACAACATATACACACACAAACACACACACACGCTGCACAAATGCAAGCACACACATACACGCACACATACACACACATACACACGCACGCACGCACACACACACACACACACATACACACACACACACAACACACACACACACACACACACACACACACACACACACACACACACACACATACACACACACACCGGCACACACACTCACACAAGCACACACGCGCACGCACGCACACACGAGCGCGCACACACACACACACACACACACACACTCACACACACACACAATGTCAGTGCCCCCACCTTGCGTTTGCGCATCAGTGCCCTATGCTGGTTGGTCGTCACGAGGGGCTGGATGGTGGTCTTCTTCCAGAGGCGGTGGAAGACATGCGCACTGGTGAAGGTGCACACGGCCAGCGGGATGACGAAACACAGAACCACCATCATTACCCAGTACGCCTTGCGCCAGTACTGGTTCGACCATTGCTGGTTGGAGAGAAAATAGCCGGTAATTAATTTGTTAATTAACATCCCAAACAGCCATTCTACGACAAAAACAGTGCACAATTTTTGCTTCTTTGAAACTTTGTTTATTCGTGAATTTCAGAAATAAATCAAATCGGCTAACTGACCGCTTTTCATTTAAGAAAAGGTCAGGGTCAGACAAAATATAACACAGATACAGGTAATGTTACATGATTGAACTCCTAACAACTTCATATATACATAAACATACAGTTCTAATAAATCGATTGACATTACTCCTTACGCATTTTGGATGGCAGATTTGGTTAAATGCCTTTTAAAAAGCTGTAAAACGTTGTAACTTTATATCTCTTTATTTGACTTCTCCATTGAGGGGGACACAAAGCACAATGGAGGGGGAGACAAAACAGGCGATTGCTCGCTTCTGCTTGTTGTCTATAGTATATGTAAATGTTTCTTACATCAGTGCAGTAAGTCCGTGGTCCCTGGAAGTTCCCCTCCCACTGTTGGTACGCCACTGCTACAGGAGAGGCTAGCACAAACGCCGCTGGAGGGGGGGGGGGGCAAATGAACGTCAGACGTTTTTTTTTTTTCAACAACGCAATTTTGTCTCATCAACAACAGTGTCTCATTACAGTGCCTCTCACAACTAAGTTTTAATGTTATGAGAACGTTGTTTCAGCACCAAGGACAGGGCTAAGCACTGCAGGAAAACTTTGTTGCACAGCTAGCATACAAGGTAAAACGTAATCTAATAATGTATAACAAACAATCATGTTACCAGACTAATATACCGCACAAAATCTAGTATAGGATGAGAATGAGATTTTACAACTATTATTGGAATGTCTAGCGTTCAAATATTGTTTGTTAGGTGGCCGACAGGCATGAAAAGAATCGCGCCAGCATGGAAAGGGTTCCACACCGGCACAGAATTGTCCCTATCGACCACGGTACTTTTGACAGCCGTACCTGCCCAGACGACGGTGTTGACGAGGAAAGCCGTGCGGGGGGTCCGGTAGTACATGGAGCCGATGGGGTGGATGATGGCGTAGTAGCGGTCAAGGCTAAGGGCTGCCAGCGTCAGTCCTGTGGCCGTGAACGTTACCTAAGGTTAAGGGGAAACAACATCTGACCGTCAAATTAGAAGAGTAGAAACAGAAAGACACGCCTGGTCCCAGGCCGACCGGGGATCGAACCCACGCCAAACCCGGGCACCATCTTCAGACCCAGATGCTCTGACGATTCGGCTAAAAGGTCTAGAATCGTCGGCCGGATCAGTTGGTAGCGCCTATAAACCCCGCACTGTTACACTACTCCCGCTTTTCTTTTCAAGGTTCGTCCTAGCATCTTCAGAATTCGACATCCCTAGAGCGGCCAGTACTTCAAGGGGGGGGTGTGGGAACCACTGTAAGGAGAGTCCCGGAGAGTCTTTTTTACTGGATTTTTTGGTGTGTGTGTGTGGGTGGGGGGGGG